ATATGCTTTTTTGTACATTTGGGAATTTTGTACAAAAAAGTTTATGTCATAAAAATAATATACAAACTCATATTAGGAAATTATTTGCAAAAATGTTAGTTTTTTCATGTTATTCAACACTGCAAACAAAAATATATGCTCAGAGAAACATGTACCCATATATGTGGAATTTTAGGTGCAAACTTTAAAAAAATCAATTTCATAAACCTATCTTCAGATATTCAGAAAAATAAGAGAAAACAACAATCACTAATTTGCCCATCTTTAGCCTAAACTAAAGCATCTAAAGTCTTTGTGCAAAATTCAGTCACAAACTTTATTTTTATGGCCACTATAAGGTATCTATGCAAATGTAAAGAATTCAAATTTCTACATATGCCCTGTACTTTAAAATAAAATAGCCAATGAATGATAGATATTTCTGCCTCATTTCAGCATAGTTCATTTCACTTTCCTCTCTCAAAATAATTTTTGTTTACCATCACGTTTACTTGCTCCTCTTGGAATTGGTGGTCTGCAAGTTTAACTTTTTAATCTCAGTAAGTGCTGAATTTGCATAACTAATTGACTCATTCTTATCCACCGATTATAACATTTCATTAAAAGCAGAACTTTACCACCTTCTCCCCTCAAATCCAGAATATGCACATAGGGTAATACTTTTTTATATACTTGAGGATAAGCCCATGTGCGGATAAGCCCACCCTCAAATTTTTAACTAATATCATGAAAAATTGCCACCCGCGGATAAGCCAATTATGAAAATCAAAACATACGAAAATTTTGAGGGTCAGCTTATCCATGGATGGTACGTTTTCATGGTATTTTGTTAAAAATGTGAGGGTTAGCTTATCCGCACATGGGCTTATCCTCAAATATATATATGGTACTTATCCCTCCAGCACTGGTTAAAGGCTGCTGTAAAACATTGGGACATCGTATGTATATATGTATATATAGGAGTGTGCTATGAGATAACTTGGCCAGGATATCTTTCAACCATTTCCAGGGGTATTTTTCTTTCTTTAAACCAAAATTTTACTGGAAGTCCCTTTGGGTATATGGTACATGAGAATAGTTTAGGATCCCATTTCTTGTGTACTATTTCGAAAATTTGTTTTATGGCATCCAGAGTCTGTACCTTGACCAGTACTTGCTACATGTACTTCAGGATTAATCCAAGACTAAGATTGTTAATGACTGGGAAAAGTCAGCTGTTTTTCTCTCATTAGTTCCAGAAGTGGGAATTAAACAAGGAAGGAATCCTGTGGGCCATGTATCCTGTCTGAAAAAGTACATGTAGGTGACTTAAGATTTATAAAATAAACTCAGCTAGCTTCATCACTGCATCCATAAACAACAGAAGCTGTATAGGTGTTCTTATTTTTATTTTTCGCTACTCAATGTATTACTCCAACATTTAATTTTATAATACCATAGAAAATATTTACTTATTGCTGAATTTATATCCTGTTTATTCAATAGGTAATTAGTACAAGCTGCTATCATTTGCAAACAAAGAGCTTTCTAAAGAGCACATCTCCAGTTTGAATGTGTAAAGGCACAGAAATCGTTCTCCCACAATGGCTAAACATATATATTTTTGAGCAGTAAAATTGTGTTTCAATTTTACAGTTACCTGCTGTTTCAGGAGGCATTAAAGCAACTAAGCAGACAAAGATACAAAGTACGAAGATACAGTGTTTTGACTTCAATTCAAAAATGTGTTTTGGAGTGCACAGGGTGTGAACACAGCACCTGTCTTTTCCCATAATTGTGACACAGCTACAGATGACAACTGCAATATCTCAGGAAAAGTCACTGCTGCTTCAAAGAACTGCAAATAGGTACTACGTTTGGATTTGCACGCTCCACAGCACCTGTTTGGATTTCAGTCTGAAGTGGATAACCCTAAACTGAGCCGTAATCCAGTCCTTACGGACTTGTGTATTATAATATCTTAAGCCTTTTAAGGGCACTTCTAATGTTCCCAATAGATGTACCCCATGTAGTTTCAGAGTCAGCTCAGACATGACAACAGCTTAGTTTGGTTACATGTTAGTTCATTTTGTTGATTTGCTGTTCATCATATCTGAGCTGACTCTAAAACAATGGAGTATACTCCTTGCAAACACTATGGAGAAAGCAATAATCCTAGCCCTCTCATCTGCTAATCTGAGAGCCTGATCTCATTTCTATTAACCTTCAATAAATTGTAGTCCATAGTGGAAAAAACATACATTACAGAAAAATATGTATTCTTAAGACAATGTTTATAAATTGCAGAAACAGCCTATCTAGGAATTGATTCTGCTGTTGTCCTCTCAGGTAGCACACGCTAAATGAAAAATATAGCAACATGTGAGCACTCTTTGCCTTTCTATTCTCTGCTCCAGAGACAAATGGGTATCCTCAACAAAGCATGGAAAAGTATGGTCACATCCAGATAGGCAGTTTAACTTTCCTCCAGGTGGCACAAAGTGTTACCGCATAATTTGCTCTGTCCAGACCCCTCTTCTCTGTCCTGCCTCAGTAGCAAAGCCAATGAATGATCCCGTCCTGATGCCCTCAATATGGGAAAAGTTAAGGAAAGCAACTGGGGATTTCCTCCTAGCAGGAAAAGTATTTCACATGCTTGTTGGGATGTGTTGGGATGAGCTGGGCTGGGTAGGAGGTAAGTTCTGACAGATAGCTAAACCCATAAGTGTATTCACAAGTGTATTCATCATCTGAGTCTGATCCACAGGGTAGATGGGAACTTCTTGCCTCTCCTGGTTTCCTGGGAAATCTCCACTGACGCCGTGGGATGTCACCGTGGCCCCTACCCATCCCATCGATTATCCATGGATTCTCTTGCTTACTCTCTCTCATCTTTCTTGTTCATCCTTCTCTTTTTTTCTCACGCTCACTCATCTTTCTCCATGGTTCATCTCTCTCTCCCCTTCTTTCTCACACACTCTCACTGCTTTTTTTGGTTGCTCTCTCATGCTTTCTCTCACTCATCTGTCTGTCTTGCTTGTCTCTCATCTCTAACTCTCTGCCTTAAAACAGGTGACTGGGAGCCACTAACAAGGGCTGCTTAGCCAGCATCACTGCAAGCTGCCGGTCGGTCAGCGCATTTCTAATACATGTCTAGCTGCCTCATGGGCGACTGCTACATCTGTGGGAATAAGGAGCCTGCACAAACCTGGTGCCTAATCATTCCTGCTGCCCAAGGTGAAATGGCCATGGAGGGAAGTTCCTAGGAACTGGAGCAAAAGGACATGCCTGTAGCAGCCAAAAGCAGCAAATGGGAATTGGGTAGATTTTAGCCCTGCTGCAACATTTTTACAGTAGTTGCTGAAGCACCACAAACTGCACATATTGCAAAGCTTGTGCAGAGGACTGACAGCCTTTGTCAGGAAAATATGGAAAACGCTTTAACACTGGATTAGATAAATACAAAGTTAGGTGGCCTCAGCTATGGGCTGTGGATGAGGTGAAGGAACATCATGAGGATATGTCCCTAAAGAACAGTTGGCACTGTTTGGGAATATGTGGATGACCTCTGTCTGTGTTGTTCTGCTTGTTCACTATTGAAATAGGTGTAACCAAACAGTTATGAGTCATTAGAATTAAATGCAAGTCTACATATGCAACTGCCATGCCTTTCTGAAACAATATTTAAATTTCAAAGCTTAATTAGGAGTTGGTGTCTAATTTGAACTCCACAGCTCAATGAAAGTTCATACTCACTGGAGTTTAGGTCAGCAGCTTAATTTGCTTCCTAGAATTCTGTATGTTAAGGCTCAACCTCCGAATATGTGCCATGCAAAGAAAAAAGAAGACCTGCACGGTTGCTGTAGTTCATTCTTTCTGCTCGTTTAAATGATAATGAGAGCTGAGAAGTTGTAGCATTCCTATGGCTGCAACTGTGGGGCCAAGAAGAGCTACAAAATAGACCTCCATATTGTATCTGTTTATTTATTTTATTTATTAATCAAACTAGTATGCCACCTGACTCCCAATGATTCTGGGTGGCTCACAACAATCAAAGCAAGGTAATTACAACAAAACCAATTAAAAGGAAGGGAAAAAAGATAAAAGATGGCAAGAACCACAGACCGGATGGAAACAAAGCAAGGGATCTCATTCTCCCTTGCCAAAGGCCTGTTCTGTGCGGTAGCATTATGTCCAAGAATCTCTTGTGTGAAGTGAAAAAAGTTGGAAAATCTGAGAATAAACAAGACTATAAAGATTGGTTTTTTTGTTTGGTTTTTTGTTTGTTTGTTTAAAAGGTTGTTAGGAAAATCTAGGCAACTTGTACAAATCTAGAATAGTAAAAAAAAAAACTTTCAAGAATGTCTGCCCAACTCTTTCAGACATGAACAAATTCGAGTTCTAGCATTTCTCTTTTTAGGCATTCTCACATGGAATAAATAGAAATACTGGATGTGATGGTTTCGGCTCCTGCATGGAGCTTCGGATGCAGGTTTCGGCTCCTGCATGGTCTAATTACCAGTTTCCAGTATCTGCACACAGAGCACCCAGGAGGGAACGAAAACCCCGCCTGCATAAGTTCCCTGTGATCCTCTTACCCAAATTGCCGTAGCTCTTGCACACATACCCACAAAATCCTCCGGCAAACCTCTTTCACCTCGCGCCCAACAACCGCAAACGAGCCACTGCAATCGCTCGCAAGGATGGGGCGATGGATGAGAGGGCCGGCTGCTGCTGGTTAGCTCTCTACGAGCCTCCCCTCCGCAATTTTATGATTAAGGATAGAGAGAAGACGCTGCTCAGGACAGCCGAGGAAAGAAACGAAATGAAAGCGATAACGCAGCGCAAGGCCAACCTCGGCTCCTAAAGCCAGCGAGAGCGCGAGACGCGCTGCAGTAACTTTCCGCAAAGCCTTTCCAGCAAGCCTCGTTCTCTCCGGGGCAGTCCGGCCCCAGCGGACAGCCTGTCTCCCGCCACTCCCCGGCCGGCCTCACATGCACGCGCAGCTCGCTTTACTTAACCGTCTGTCACGGCCATCTCCGCGCCTTCCTCTCGCGCGTGCACGTCCAGCCGGAGGGCTTTCTGGTTGGGGTGGGAGAGGTGCAGCCCTTCCCGGAGCTGCTCCTCGCTGAGGAAAAGCAGTTTCACGCTGTACTGCAGAACCTGGCGAGGCGGAGTAGCCATGGATTCCTCCCTCGGCCACGTACAGTGAAGGCGGTGGGAGAGGCTGATGCCTGCAGACGGGAGGTGGTAGAAACGGCTTCTCGCAGGGGCGCCCTAGCCCGCTTCGCTCGAGCAAGAAAGAACCGACTAGGGAAGGGAATGGAGGCGAGGCAGACAGCGAGTGGCTAGCTTTCCTTTTAAACGAGCTCCCCATCGGAGATGCCGCCTAGTTCTCTTTGGCATTTGCAGCAAATCAGGCTCCCTCTCTTTTTTCCTCCCTCTTCCTGCACTTCCTCTGTAAAAATCTCCCTCAAGCTAAAAACGATTTGCGCGCGCACAAGACACGGAGGGAACGTCAAGCGAACTGCGGCGCGGTCTCTTCCCGTTGGCAGGAGCGACGCCTGCCGGCTTCCTTTGGAATTGGAGACGTGGGCTGTAGGAAATTCAATCATGGCCCTGACACGAGCATGCGCACGCGCACACACCCATCCATCCATCCATCCATCCTGCCGCCGTGGGGGGTGGGTGTTGATCGTTTTTGTATTGGGGATTTTACTTTGTAAGCTGACCGAGTCACTGTGTGTGAGTTGGTCGGCCATATCAATCAATCAATCAATCTACACACTTTTGTGGCTTGCACTAAATTGGAGTAACCTACTGGTACTACTAGAAGTGTAGCAATGATAAGGATTACCAGATTCCTCACACGCGTGCGTACACACACACAAATGTTTGTTAACAGCTTCTGGTCAGGCAGGAGTGAAGCAAGTTCTTTTTCCCATCACGTGACAGGGAAAAGTCCCACCTTTTAAATTAGATTTTTCCAACCTGGCACCTCCCCTTCAGGGCCTAAATGAAAACATTTCTACTGGCGCTTGTTCTGGATTTTGGAGTGCTATATCTTATTAAGAGAACCAGTTTGGTGCAGAGGTTAAAGGCACCAGTCTAGAAGCCAAGAGGCTGCACAAAGCCAATTTAAGCCAGTTCTTCCCTTTCAGCCCTAGGAAGAAAGCACTGGCAAGCCACTTCCCAAAATGTTGTTAAGAAAACTGCAGGGATTTGACCAGGCAATTGCCAGGAGTCAATAATGATTCAAATAATGAGACATAAAAATTTATTGAAAGCCACAGAAACCTTAATTACCAATTAATTGCTATTGCCAGACAGCATGATGATAAAAAAAATGTTTGATCTATCTGCTGTTATTCTGAAGATTCCAATTCAAAGAGAGCTGAGCTGAGAGATGAAGCATGTTGCCAGACAGGCACAACTGATTCTCCACTTCTCTACCACAATTGGATCCACTTTCCCTTTGGTAAATTTGGCCATGTAACTTTGTTCCTCCTTGTACTCTTGGCTGTATCCCCACAGTTAGCTCACATGAACAAACTGATCCCTCATGTGGCATTGTGCTCACCGTAATTTAAGATTAACTGTGGGATGACAGATTTTCAAATTACAACTCCTGGCAGTCCTAGCCAGCACAGCCAATTGTTCAGAATGCTGGGAATTATAGTTCAGCAACATGTGGGATCTTCCCCACCCAATTTCAGCATTGCATCCACTTTCTCAACTGCTTCTTTAAAGCTGAGAAGATTGCAATATGTTACTGAAATAAATAATATACTCTCAATGTTCTCTCAATTTTTATAAATACTTTGGTTATTTGAGCAGAGAGGAAAATGTCTAGTTTGTAGAGAATTATTTTTTAAAAAATCTTTAAAATTTTTCTTACATGTATAGTGTGAGTTTGTTGCCAATATTTCCAGATAGTTTGCTATGTTAGCTTTTGACATAAAACCAAGAATTCTGGGATACTTTACAAATTAGCCAATTCATCCATAGTATGAGGGTGTATAAGATAATACAATACTTAAATTTCAAGAGGTCATTGTTGTAGAGAAATTCAGAAGTACAGAGTACAACACTCAGAAGACCCATGTTTATTGCAATGATTGTTGAGTGGATGCTTTACAAGGAAGAGGGACCCAAAACAATGGGAAAGAAAAAATTTTTATGGAAGTTGAGGGCTACAAAGCAGGAAATCCTAGGAATCTGATTTGAGGGCAACTTTTGGGGAAGCTAGGCAGGTCCTTGTCCATGTACCTGAGGTTATTTCTTCATGGATAGTATCTGTTGGGCAGTGTTGGGCTTCAGGGTTCATGGTCTAGAGAACAGATCTCCTGATGTTCTGGCAACTTGTGGCTGGCATCTTCAGAGGCAAAGTGCAGACCACAGGCAACTGAGCAGGGACTGACTGGGGATTTCTATTGTTCTTATTCTATTGTTCCATTGTTGTCTGCTCTATTGTTCTTATTGTTTATTCTGTTGTTATTTCTGGCCTGTCAGAAAGGGCAGCAGAACTGGGGAAGTCCATTGTGAAGGAAATGGAATGTTGAGGTAATCAGGCTGATTGAGGATGGAACCTTGGGTTTCTCAGCTTATTAATATGTTGCAGTTCCCTTATAAGGGCCATGCTTGGGCTATACAGTACTGTGAGCTGGTGAGGAGGCTTCTGTTCTTTAGTTTAGATAGGATTGCAGGGGGCTTTGTCTGGGGACAGGGGGGATCAATTTGGGTCTGATAGGGTTAGGCAAAAAGAGGACCTGGGTTTGACCTTGGTCGTGTCCAAAAGACGGAGGGAGGGGAGGGTGCAGCTTCCATTTTATTTGCTACATTTCTTTTCTCCACCATAGTCATAATATCCTTTGTGGTTTTTGTTGGTAAAAGCTTCTTGCTCCACAGTTATTCCAAATAACATAATAATAATTGATTATTGAACTAACTCTAAAGTGTTTCTACTCAATATAATGAACCAGGGCCTCCACAGTTCTCTTGGGACCTGATACTAGAGATAATTAAACAAACTTACATATTCAGGAAGTCCACACATAAAACTATAATGAATAACCAACCAATACAATTTATTAAATATTATTTTGAATCTATTAACATACAGGCCATCAAATAATCAAGCTGAGATCTCAAGCAGTTAAGAGTCCATAAGGAATTTGAACCTTTCAGTTCAATGTGCAAAGGATGAAGTTAATATGAGCCTTCTCACCAAGTCAATAAGGCAAGAAGTTTAAACATGTTAGCAATCAACAGACTAACACAGAGATTTGCAGTTAGCAAAAAGGCTAATCAAGAGATTCAAGACCATCATAGTCAGTGCCCTAGACTGACTGTGGGAATTTAGGAAGAGAAGTGGATAAAGAAAAAACGGGGAGGAGGTTTGCCAAAGTTGAGTCCTTGGTGAAAAGAAAAGGACATGCTGAAAAAAAAATTACCTAATTAATGCATCAATAAGGAAAGAAAAAAGAAGTTACCTATCCTTGTTTGCTGTCTCACTTTCTCAATTTTGGGGAAAAAAAGGAATTGAAAGAAGAGTCGCTGAGTAGGAGTCCATTCTCCTTGGGATAAAAACAAAAGAGAAAGACAGAGAAAGAAAGGCTTTGGGCTTAAATAGGAATCTTCAAATCAGCACTACCTCTATGACTTTCTAGCTGTTAAGCAACATCTGCTATTCTACAAGAGTTAATCTGAGAGAGTTCACAGCAGGTGTCTTCATAGGGATGATCAGCAGCATCAGAACGGCAGGCACAAAAGAGTAATTGACGCTCCAGACCTTCTGGCATGCACACAATGCACGTGGCATAAATTAAAAAGGGATAAGGCACGTCCACCACTTTTACATTGTTGACTGCCCCTTCTCCCTGATGGCCTTGGTTCATAGGCATGACTGGGGTGCTTGCAGAACCTAATACCTTGGGAACACCTTGCCTGAGTTTTAATAATGAAAAGGCTTTTCCTGAGCCTTTGCCAAGCTGAAAAGAAGTCTCTTCTTTCAAGTGCAGCCCATCTTTACGCAAAATTTGTGAGAGCTTCTAAACAATTCCCTCTGTTGTGAAAAGATAGGGACTACAGAATAATGTCCCAGAAGCTAAAGCTCTTCTACCTCTGATCGATCACTTTCAAGGTCAGTGTTATCAAAATGGAATAAAGGAAAATAGAGAAAGTCAGGCTTTTCCATCAGAAGGAATCAGCAGCTATCTCTGCTTTGGCTAAAATATGATGGATTCTAATTTTGCCTCCATTCCTAATGTTTCTCATTTAAGCAGCTCTTGCTCTTGTTATGAGAAAAAAGATTTTTAAGGGCAGTTAGGATACAGAGTAAGTCCATCAGGCACAGAGAACTGAAAAAGAGGGAGAAATGATTTACAGGTAGTCCCTGAGTTATGACGGCAATTGGGACTGGGATTGCCGTTGCTAAGTGATGCAGTTGTAAAGTGCAATGTCATGTGATTGCATTGCTTAGTGACGGCAATCCAGGCAATCCTGGTTGTCATAACTCAAGATACGTGGGTCATTAAGTGGGAAGTGGAGAGAATCCCAGGTAAGGAGCTCAGGGGTGCCGCAGGGGTGTGGGGGAGGCCATGCACAATTCTGGGAGAGGATGCTCAGTGCAGCACAAGCTAAAAAAGGCCAGGGAATGAGTGTGCAAGGTGTGTGAGCACAGGGAGGCCGAGGAAAGAGGTACGGGGTGTGTGCAAGTGAATTGGGGAAGGAGGGCACAGTGCGTGTGAGTGAAGAAAGGCAGGGGTGAAACTTACCCAGCGACTTGCAGCCTTCCTTGCTGGCTTCCATTGACTTTGATTGGGGAAAACTGGCAGAAGGGTGCAAATGGCGATCATATGACCATGGGGTGCTGCAACTCGCCATAAGTGCAAGCTGGCTGTCAGGCACCCGAATTTTGTTCACATGACTGTGGGGGCACTGTAATGGCTGGAACTTCGAGGACCACTTATAAGTCCCTTTGTTCAGCACTGTTGTAACTTCGAATGGTCGCTGAACAAATGGTTGTAACTCAAGGACTACCTATAGTACAAAACTAAAACTACTATTACAAAACAATAAAAAAGCCTAAGCTAAATGGTCATATTTTAGAAGATGTGAGAATATACACAATGGAATACAGTTCAACATCTTGCTGGGTTATTGGCTTTTCCTTTGGGCTCAAAAAGATATTGCCAGAGAATGTAGATCCTTAATTGTCAGAAGGATTTACCAGGTTTACCTAATACATTTATCTTCTGTCAGATCTGCTATTGTCTTATTAAGACCCCCAAACCAACCCCACAAAGACAGTTTAGTGCAGTCACAGATCAGAGTTGTAAATAAAACATGTTAAAATAAAATAATAAAAACACAAAACAAGATAAGAATGTTACAACTGGTGGTGGGTTCATTTGTGGGCAGTCAAGGTGTGCCTAGTTTAACAGGAGAATAACAGAATTTGGCTATGTTCAAGGAAATTAA